TGGGGGTGAGGAGGTGGAGTGACGTTTCCCCCGGTCCTTGGTAAGAGTGCGCTGAGGACGGTGGGATTCTGAGCCAAGCTGGCGATGATAGCCGACAGTGCGGCCTGGACCTGAGGATCTACGGACGGAGAGGCCGCGGCCATAGGCTGGGCCGGGGCGTGGTCCGCTTTCTCAGCTCGTTTCTTTTCCAGGCCGAGGCGGGCGTCGGGGACTCCGCCGTTGAGTTGGTTGCGGAGGTCCGTCGTGAGGTTGAAGGCCTCCTGGAAGAGGTCCCCTCCGCCGACCTGGTCAGCCGTGGCGTCCTCATCGTGCTCCCTGGGCTCTTGGTCCTCAGGGATGACTTTGCTGACGAGGTTGCGGTTTGACTTAGTTCTCCCCATGATCAGTGGTTAGCCGTGCTTGGTAGCGACGAAGGGTGCTAACTTGATTGTTCTAGCTCTCAACGAGAGCACCAAATGATAGAGTATTAACTCCTAGATTCTAGAGAGAAGTGAGAGCTAGAGAGAGAAGTGCAATAATATGCTTCAATGGAATGATTTTGTAACCCCTATAACTACTCCCAAGGGGAGTATTTATAGAGAAAATTAGGGTTGGGCCCCCAAGCCTTGGGCTTGGGAGGCCCATTTACAACTGGACCGCTACTGGGCCGGATACAAAGCCTCTACTGGGCTGTACAAATGAGTAAGTATAGGATCCGATTCTGGGAGGTCCTCGTGGCCGACGAGGGCGTGGCCGACGAGGGCACGGCCGACGAGGGCACGGCCGACGAGGGCACCCAGGTTCCTTGGACTCAGGACCGTAATCCGAGCTGGCCCCTTTTCGGCCGACGGGGGCGTCTTGGCCGACGAGGGCGCCACTCCGTTGTCTTGTGCTCTGTTCTTCCGGGTATGTGGGTCCTGGGGCTCAGACCCATATACTCCATCACACGATGACATTTAAATCTATTATATTATATTCTAATTCTAGACAACGGAAAAATAACTTTGATTTAATAATTGTTAGTGCTCTAGATTTTTATTGAAAATAAGAAAGGATATACGGAGTAACATTTTATCAAATTATTTGAAGGTAAAGAATTTAAAAGGTACACATAAACCGATGTTTTTTAAATAATTTCTTCTTTTTTAACCACATGAATCCTATCATAATATAAAGAATCCGTTTTGAATTGCATTTTTTGTCTATGAAGAAGGGTATTTATGAATCACAAGAACTTTTCTTAATATCACAATAGTATGTACTCCGTATGAGATTATTAGTTTTAGAATAATATGATACGTAGTATTGTTAATTCATATATACATGGTGCACAATATATTTCTATTTATGCTAAAATAAGTTAAAATTTATTATCTACAAATTTGTTTTACAAAGTAAGAAGTAAATTGATGTTTATATTTTGGATTCACTTTACATGATCTATTTTTTTTAACTATTGTGTGTGATATTTAATATCATTGATATTTTACACGATAGAGTACTAATTATCTAAGACAATTAAACATTACAAAATCAAGAATTTTGATATAATAGGCAATATAACTCTTAAACAATGAGTTGTTCTATTGTTTATTTGTTAAAATTATCTAAATTATTTTAGATTTTACTTCTTTTAAATCTCCAATTAAGTATTACATTATGTGAGCTTATATATTAATTTTGAAAACTAAAAGATAAGGGGGGTGAAAGCATATATATCTAATTAAAGTATGAAAATTTTATGAAAATATTACATATATAATAGAAAAATTTGAAAGTCCAAGGGAGGCGGTCGCCCCCCGCGCCCCCCTTTAAATTCATCCCCTGTAAGACCATTTGGAGTGGTGAGGTATTAGGAGTCCAAATGGCTAAATGTGAAATTTTTGGACTCCTAATTATGTGTAGTGCTAGTTTAAAAGAGGTATTAAAAGTGGAAAGGAGATGGAAGGGGTTATATATAGAGGGTGGGTTGAGACTTGAGAGGAGTGGAAAAAGAGAAAAAGAAGGGGAAAAAAAGAAGAAAAATAGTAAAATTTTATAAAAGTGGTTGCTTTTGGTGAATATGATGTTGTGCTGACTTTATCGTTGCATCACAATATCTCAATTTTTTAGAAAACTTGTATAACTTTTTATTTGTTCTCCAAAATTTTCAAAATATATATCAAAATTCATAAAATTTTATGATCTTTCATATGACACCAATATGTAATATATAAAATGAAACAAAAATTCTTAAATTTTAACTGTTGAAGTTTTCTTTAGTCTAAAAAACGATGAAACACAAATTTTTAATTCATGGAATCTTCACAAATAACTGAATATTTCATAATCGAACTTTACTTAAACTAAGTTCATTTTTGTTAACCGAAAACATTAAAAAAATTAATGAAATTTATTTATTTTTACATCGAAATGTGTGTTTTTTATTTCACAATTATTTAGGGAAAATATTAAATGGAAAACATTATTTATAATAAATTAATTATTGTTTTACTAAATTGATATGTAAAAAAATATGTTGAATGTGTTTTATTGACGATGCACGGATGCTGAAAAAAACAGTATTGACGGAATCGAAACACTGTTTTCACATGCACGGAGTCCAAGTTTAACAATTTGGACTCCTAACCACTACAAATGGTCTAAGTACGCAGCGAGCACATCGGTTCCTAAATGATTTGTTCAATCCTATTTAACGAACCACTGATCAACAATGTATATTTTTGTATTAGTGATGGAAACAAAAAATCAAAAGTAGGTCAAAACTCAAACCAGATTTGCTGGGATGATGAGACTATGAGAGATAAGTCGCAGTACTTTCAATTCAATGAAATCGTGCGTAAATACACTGCATTAATTACAGTAACTCTTACGGTATGTATGCAAAAGATTAAAGAAGTGATTTTCAAACTAAACACCTAAAAGCTAAAATCTGTTTCCACTTTTTCTATTACACAAAAAACACATATTTTACCAAATACTTTTCAAAATCAATTTTTTCTCAAACACTACTAACTTTTACTATTAAGCACTTTTTCACTTCAAAAAGTGATTTTTTGAAATCTTATTCAGACATTTTGGAATTAAACCCATTATCAAACATATCCCTCTTAAATTAATTTTGACATCACTCATTAATATATCAAGAATGAAAAACCTTAACTAAGTAAATTTATCTGATACAGGCTATTTATTTAACATGTTAAAATAATGGTCATCCATCATCCTAAAATATTCAGTTTTTCATGTGTTTTTCTTGTCATGTCATTGCCACATAAATAAAATCAAAGTTTACTAATCCCCCCTCAACCATGATCTCTATTCATTAAGTTTTTTATGGATTTTTTTTGTTATTTCCAATGAGATAGTTTAGTCATTCCAAATTAAAAGATATGATTGCATTACATGTGTTTATTGAAACTTGAGAATAATCTTGAATAATCTAGCATTCAATATTTGATATCAGATTTTTTATCTAGATAATCTTTCAGAATAATCTCATCTTCTCAACCATAAATTTTAAAAGGATCTTCACATCATCAAGATGATCCCCGAATATTCTCATGGATGTGGATGCCCTTACATAAATGACACTCACCCAAAATAAAATGTCGTAATTAATTCAAGCATTTTTTTAAAAGAAAGTAAACACCTCCTCATATGTAAACACCTTCTTCTTTTGTTCCTCGTGCGCATCCATCTACTTCTGTTTTTTTCCTTGTAGAGTGGAACCAATTCCCAATGAGATGCACTCACCTTATCAACCCGCTCTATCTATTTTTTATCTTTGGTAATGTCTTGAACAATCTTTTCCCCCTTCTTTTGCTTGTCTATTCCTATCCAAAAATCATATTTGATGATTAATTAGTTTATTAGCTTCACAATAAAAATGGTATTAATTACTCTTGTTAATTGCTTGAAAAGTATTAATAATTTAGTGGTTTTAGAGGATGTTAAGTATTTCGACATTTAATAACCTTAATTGAGGCCCCATATTATCGTGAACCCATCTTTCACTTTGGACTGAATTGATAAAATTCGTTAATTTTTTTTTACTTTGGACTGAATTGTGTACGTGATTCTTTGGTACTAGCTTAGGAATGATAGTGAACCTATCTTTTAATTGATAAAATTTCTTAAATTATTTTTACACTGGGACTTGTGGTTCTGGTCTAACGTAACTTGGTCTTGGTGATTTCTACATTCCAAGAGTTAGATCCATGAACAAAAAAAGACAAAATCTAAATAATTAAGTTTCTTCAATATTTTCGGTGGCTTGATTACTCCTAAACAGTTTTGAATTTATCATTCTTTCATGTGCTTGATACTCCTAGATATCCCATTTATGGAACATCAGTTATGTCATAAACAAAACACAATATGTTCCAATAGAGTTAATAAGGATGTTTTCACACTTAATTCTCCATGTTTTGAGTTTTTGACTTTTTTCATCCATATCATTTTCGATTATTTGGATCAAATATCTTGCATATTTTAGCTAGATTAATGCACGGTTCATCAAAAGAAAAAAAACCATAACGTAACGCCATATTATTTAAATTTTTAAAATAAAAATAAGAAATAATTACATAAATATGACCAAAGTAAAGATGATTTACAAAAATATGACTAATGACTAGAGTAGTAACGAAACCATAGTAATTCATGTTCAAGTTTCGAGCTTAAGTTACCACAACACCACATTGTAGTAATGACTAGTCATATTTATGTAAATATGTTTTATTCTAGTAATATTTTTGTAAAAAACTCGTTAAAAATAATAATAAAATTTATGAAAACTTAGGTCCTAAATTGATAGTTTTCAATCATTCGGGTCCTAGATTGATAGTTTTCCATCATTCAGGTCCTAGATTGATAGTTTTCCATCATTCGAGTCTTATACTGATACATTTCATCTTTCAGGTCCTACTATATATATATATATTAATATATATATATATATATATATATATATATATATATATATATATATATCCTACTATACTATTAAAAGCTCTAAGAAAGTTAGTTGGTCTATTTCCGTTTCTAGAGTGATTAACGGGAGCTCAGATTTGCGCAGAGGAAAGTAACCCCTGTTTCCCATTTGCTTGCTCTGTTTGTTTGTGTTCAAGCAAGATAATATCTAGCCCTTTCTCTTGCGACACCATATATAACTTCATTTCCTTTATGCAGGCTTGATAGTTTGGAAGTCTAGGGTTCGCAAAATCCTTCGTTGCCCGAGTCCGCAAAAATCCTTCCGCCGAAGCCGCCCGAGTATCATTCCTTCCCTGGTAAGATTTCTTATCCTATTTTGCTTCTCTTTTGTTTCTATTTCATTTCATGGGGGGGGGGGGGGGGGGGGGGGGGTCGGAGAAGTTCTTTGTGCGATTGCTTTTTTTGTTCGAAGTTGGTGTCTCTGGATGCGGTGTTGGTGGCCTGATCTGGCTGCGGATGGAGTTCAGGTATGTGTTAGTATATATGTCCTAGCGACAATCACTTTTTAGAGATATATGTACTTGATCACATTCAGTTTTATATATTTGATATATACGGTATTACACATCGATGATTAAGTATTTCGATTGTCAATATCTTATTCATAATTGTGTTCCCTTGGACTTATGTTGTCAATAAGTGTTGGGTGTGTTTCGGAAAATAAAGAAAATTAATTAAAATAAATTAATTAAATAAAATGACTAAAGAAAAACAGGAAAGGAGATGAAGCAGAATTAGTCAAAGCTCGTGCTACGCACGATTTCCTTAAAACGTATTTGTTGCCTCCCACGGTGCTAGGAGCGTTGCAACAATCGTTTCCCAGGATACGATGACTACGAACTAATGTTTGAGCACACAAACAAGAGTTCCAGCGAACGAGAACCAAGTATGAACACAGAAGGAAGTTTGCTGAGTAGCTTTAGGTGTTTTTAGCTCAAGAAATTCGTGAGGAATGTATTGTGCGTTGTGTTTGTTGCAAAGCACCTGCCAGCTATTTATAGGAGGATTTGTTGTGTGTTAAATGGGGTGTTAATGGACCTGAACGTTGGACTTCAATGACCAGTCCGTTGGGCATTGAATCATCCATAAACTGTCCATTTAACGTTGCATTAAAAGACAAGAATGTTGGGCATTTAATGGTTGTAACGGCTTGGAGCAGTTCTGGTGCGCGATCAGAATACCCCCATCAGAGTTGGAGCAGTTCTGGTGCGCGATCACAATACCTCCACCAGAGTTGGAGCAGTTCTGATGCTACCAGAAGACCTCCACCAGAGTTGGAGCAACTCTGATCCGAAGCCACCAGAGTTCGAGCAACTCTGATCCTGGAAAAAAATAAAACGTTACGGGAAGAAATAAAAATTAGACCGTATCTTTGAATGATAGGTTTTCGGACGACATTCGTGTCTGCAGGTCGCCCTCGCACACGAGTCGCGGTTTTTCATCTCCGTTTCGGGATTTGATCCCCCCTGCGCGTAAGAGAGAGCCTTTCCCTTTAGGAATCTTAACTCCTTAAAAGAGGCTTCCCTTTATAAGGGGGTGAAAATCCCTTGAGTTTTTCGGTGTGGGATAAAACACACTAGAAACTCACCATTTTCCCAGTTTTTCCATTTCAACGAGTGAACTTCGAGAATCAATTTCTCATTCACCCGTTATCCGTTTTGAGTGTACCATATATCGAATTGTAGCCCTTAACAAGGACAATCCGAAACCACTTTGACCCGACCCAAATCGGAAGTGGACCCCACTCAAATAATTGCCCCAAAAGGACCATTTAATGCAATTTTAACACATTTTTCCAACAATCCCCCACATGAATGAAAATTGATTTTCGAGACTTAAAAAGACACGAAGATAGGAGGACACGTTGTGTTCATCGGATGATCCTTGCATACGGAGAGGTAGGTTTTATCCTTTGAACCTTCCGTTTTAAAGACACGTTTATTTACTGGCTGTCTAGTAGACTCGATGTCCTTGAACTATACTGCCGTCGTGTAAACATTGACTTATCTTTACACAAGAACCTTCCAACTTTGTTCCGTTCTCATGGGTGTGCCCGTTTTGGCCATGGGTCACCGTCCTGGTTCTGCAAGAGTTTCTAAAGAACTGAGCTTTTACAGTTCTCCTTTGAAGCGGCCCTCTTCTCTCTCACATAGGTGATTCTTTCACGAGTATCCCGCATACTCTTCCAATGTTATCGAGTAGATCAACATTTTAGAATCATTAAAGCAAACGTTTTTGCTAACCTCGTGCGGGAGTCACTGTTTTAACGAGGAGTGGGTAGGAGTCCGGGACCCCCACAGTGACCATCCTTCGCTCTATAATTTAGTTGTCCCTTTTGAACCTAGGACCAACTAGGTTGGGTATCCACTATAGAACTTTTCAATTCACGGGCTTTAGTCCCATTCCTCGTGACAACTTCTCCAACAATTCTCTATCCAATGCCTTGGTTAGCGGATCCGCTATGTTATCCTTTGACTTCACGTAGTCAACAGTGATAACACCCGTTGTGAGGAGTTGTTTAATGGTGTTATGTCTACGACGAACGTGTCTAGACTTACCATTGTACATATTGCTCTGTACCCTTCCAATTGCCGCTTGACAATCCCAATGTATGCATATTGGAGGGACAGGCTTCTCCCAACTTGGAATATCCTCGAGAAAATGGCGTAGCCATTCAGCCTCTTCAGTGCACTTATCCAAGGCTATTAGCTCAGACTCCATCGTGGATCTAGCTATTAACGTTTGTTTTGAGGATTTCCATGATACGGCTGCACCTCCCAAAGTGAAAACATATCCACTTGTGGACTTAGAGTCCTTTATGTCGGATATCCAACTAGCGTCGCTATACCCTTCAAGTACAGCTGGATATCTTCCATAGTGCAGTCCAAGGTTTTGGGTTTTACGTAAATACCTCAGAACCCTTACTATTGCCTTCCAGTGTTCAGCACCGGGGTTGCTAGTATATCTACTCAACTTGCTAACCACAAAGGCAATATCAGGCCTGGTACAACTCATTAGATACATCAAGCTTCCAATAGTCCTAGCGTATTCTACTTGAGAAATACACTCTCCACGATTTTTGGTAAGTTGTACGTTTTTATCTAATGGAGTCCTTGCCTCTTGATAATCATCCTTATTAAATTTCGTAAGGATTTTATCAACGTAATGGGATTGGCTTAGCGTAAGACCGTCAGGTCCTCTAATTATTTTAATCCCAAGGATTAAATCGGCCAGCCCCATATCCTTCATGTCAAATTTAGAATTTAACATGTTTTTGGTAGAATTAATCATTAGATTATTGCTACCCACGATGAGTATATCATCCATGTATAAACATAAAATGACATAGCCGTCTACCGTGCTCTTCACATAGACGCATTTGTCACTTTCGTTTATTTTAAACCCATTAATTAACATTGCATGATCGAACTTTTCGTGCCACTGTTTAGGGGCTTGTTTCAATCCATACAATGATTTAATTAATTTACACACTTTCCTTTCTTGGCCTGGAACACGAAAGCCCTCGGGCTGTTCCATATAGATTTCTTCGTCTATATCGCCATTTAGAAAAGCGGTTTTTACGTCAATTTGATGAACTTCCAATTTCCGCAATGCGGCAATTGCTAGTATCATCCTAATGGAATTTATTCTCGTCACAGGAGAATACGTGTCAAAGTAATCATGGCCCTCACGTTGCTTGTATCCTTTGATTACAAGTCTGGCCTTGTACTTATCGATGGAACCGTCAGGTTTCATTTTCCGTTTAAAAATCTACTTGGATCCCAAAGGTTTATTTCCCGGAGGAAGATCAACCAATTCCCATGTGTGATTTTTGAGGATAGAATCCACCTCACTTTTGATGGCTTCTTTCCACATAGGACCTTCAGTAGACGTCACGGCTTCCGTATAAGTCCGTGGCTCATTTTCTACCAAACATGTTAGAAAATCCGGTTCATTTTCTACCATACATGTTAGAATATCCGATTCAACTTCTACCAGGTAGGTGAGAAAATCCGGTCCGAAGGATTTTTCAATTCTAGCACGTTTGCTACGTCTGGGTTCGGGTTCTTCTCCGGATCCCTCGCTAGTATTTTCCATAGCTACGTCAAATGTTCGTTTTGACGTGCTTGGTCCTTCGTTGGACTTGCATGGAAATACGTCTTCAAAGAATGAAGCATTCCTTGATTCAATTATTGTGTTTTTATGTACATCCGGATTATTCGAATCGTACACTAAAAACCGATATGCACTACTATTTTGTGCATATCCAATAAAAATACAATCCACCGTTTTTGGACCTATTTTTATTTTCTTAGGTGTTGGTACAAGCACCTTAGCAAGACACCCCCACACTTTTAAATATTGATAGGAAGGCCGTCTGCCTTTCCACAACTCGTACGGAGTTTTATCATTTTTTTTTCGGGGAACCTTATTTAAAAGGTAATTGCTTGTCAAGATTGCTTCGCCCCACATATTTTGTGGCAAGCCCGAACTTACTAGCATCGCATTCATCATATCTTTCAATGTGCGATTCTTTCGTTCGGCAACACCGTTTGATTGAGGTGAATAGGGTGCGGTACGTTCGTGTACTATACCCACACTAGCGCAAAAGTCACCAATTGGTGCTTCATACTCACCACCTCGATCACTCCTAACCGTCTTAATCCTTCGATTAAGTTGGTTTTCCACTTCATTCTTATAAAGAATGAATTTATCGATTGCTTCGTGTTTATTTTTTAATAAATAAACGCAGCTATAGCGAGTGCTATCATCGATAAAGGTAATAAAGTATTTATTACCGCCGCGTGTTTGTATTGATTTAAAATCACAAACGTCACTATGAATTAATTCAAGTGGTTCCGTTTTTCTTTCAACCGATTTGAAAGACGTTTTCGTTAGTTTTGCCTCTACACAAACTTCACATTTGTGCTTCACATCAATTGTGAATTTAGGAATGTGCTCCATGTTAATTAATCTACGTATAGAATTAAAATTAACATGTCCTAGTCTACCATGTCACACATTGGAAGACTCAAGCAAGTAAGCAGAAGGGATTTTATTATTATTATTAATAATAGTCATTACATTGAGCTTAAACAGCCCATCACATGTATACCCCTTTCCCACATACATTCCCGATTTAGACAAAACTAATTTGTCCGACTCAAAAACCATGCGGAAGCCATGCTTGTTCAACAACGAACCGGAAATCAGGTTTTTGCGTATCTCCGGAACGAACAGCACTTGGTTTAGAGTCAGCTCCTTGCCCGAAGTCATCTTCAGGACCACTTTGCCCACGCCTTCAACCGCAGAATGAGCTGAGTTTTCCATCCACACCTTCTCACTATTTGATGGCTCAAAAGTAGTGAATAACTCCCGGTTTGAGCAAATGTGCCGGGTTGCACCGGTGTCCACAAACCACTCCTTGGGATTGGATCCAACGAGGTTGACTTCCGTAACCACAGCCGCTAGGATGATGTCTTCATCCTTTTGCCCACCTTGCACCAAGTTGACTTGAGAGTCTTTCTTCTTCCGTGGTGCCTTGCAATCCGAGGACTTGTGTCCATTTTTATTGCAATTGAAGCATTTTCCGTTGAACTTTGTCTTGGAAACGCCTCCCTTGGGACCGAGCTTGCTCTTCCCATTATTTTTATTTTTGGAGCCTTTAGCATGCTCCACCACGTTGGCCTTGGCGCCATGAGCAATTGGGAGTTTCCCATCGTTCTTCCGGTTATCCTCTTCAATCCGCAGACGGAGGATCAATTGCTCCAAGTTCATTTCCTTTCGCTTGTGCTTAAGGTAGTTCTTGAAATCCTTCCAAGCCGGCGGCAATAAATGGATAATTGACGCCACTTGGAAAGACTCACTAACTGTCATTCCTTCATCTCGAATTTCGTTGAAGATCATTTGCATCTCCTCAACTTGACTTAAGACCGTCTTCGAACCCACCATTTTAAAGTCAAGGAATCGACCAACAACAAATTTCTTTGCGCCGGCATCCTCGCTTTTATATTTGTGGTCCAAAGCATTCCATAGCTCCTTAGCCGTAGCTAATTTGCTATAAACGTCGTACAAAGCATCATGCAGCCCGTTCAACACATAGTATCGGCAAAGGAAGTCAGAATGCTTCCAAGCTTCAACCGCGTTGAAAGATTGCGCATCCACCTCACCCCCGGTTCCTACCGGCGCATCTTCGGTCAAGAATCTAGCAAGACCGAGAGTAGTGAGATAGAATAGCATCTTTTGCTGCCACCTCTTGAAGTTTAACCCATTGAATTTCTCGGGTTTCTCCACAGAGTTGCTTGGCACAGTCACCATAGGGATAGCCCTTTGGTTGGCCAAAGTAGATGCACCGCGTTGTGAACCATTGTTCACCGGTGCTCCACTTTCAGAGTGATTGTCGTTCAGAACATTCTGCCCAACACCAATCTCGTTTTCTTGAGAAGTCATTTTCGTTCTTTAACGTTTTTCCGAAAACACAAAAAAAATAAGTTCGTTCACCAAAGTGACAAACTACGTTTAAGATTGTATCCGTATGATACAAGCTCAAGAAATACGTTTTAAGATTGTTGGGTGTGTTTCAGAAAATAAAGAAAATTAATTAAAATAAATTAATTAAATAAAATGACTAAGGAAAAACAGGAAAGGAGATGAAGCAGAATTAGTCAAAGCTCGTGCTACGCACGATTTCCTTTAAACGTATTTGTTGCCTCCCACGGTGCTAGGAGCATTGCAACAATCGTTTCCCAGGATACGATGACTACGAACTAATGTTTGAGCACACAAACAAGAGTTCCAGCGAACGAGAACCAAGTATGAACACAGAAGGAAGTTTGCTGAATAGCTTTAGGTGTTTTTAGCTCAAGAAATTCGTGAGGAATGTATTGTGCGTTGTGTTTGTTGCAAAGCACCTGCCAGCTATTTATAGGAGGATTTGTTGTGTGTTAAATGGGGTGTTAATGGACCTGAACGTTGGACTTCAATGACCAGTCCGTTGGGCATTGAATCATCCATAAACTGTCCATTTAACGTTGCATTAAAAGACAAGAACGTTGGACATTTAATGGTTGTAACGGCTTGGAGCAGTTCTGGTGCGCGATCAGAATACCCCCATCAGAGTTGGAGCAGTTCTGGTGCGCGATCACAATACCTCCACCAGAGTTGGAGCAGTTCTGATGCTACCAGAAGACCTCCACCAGAGTTGGAGCAACTCTGATCCGAAGCCACCAGAGTTCGAGCAACTCTGATCCTGGAAAAAAATAAAACGTTACGGGAAGAAATAAAAATTAGACCGTATCTTTGAATGATAGGTTTTCGGACGACATTCGTGTCTGCAGGTCGCCCTCGCACACGAGTCGCGGTTTTTCATCTCCGTTTCGGGATTTGATCCCCCCTGCGCGTAAGAGAGAGCCTTTCCCTTTAGGAATCTTAACTCCTTAAAAGAGGCTTCCCTTTATAAGGGGGTGAAAATCCCTTGAGTTTTTCGGTGTGGGATAAAACACACTAGAAACTCACCATTTTCCCAGTTTTTCCATTTCAACGAGTGAACTTCGAGAATCAATTTCTCATTCACCCGTTATCCGTTTTGAGTGTACCATATATCGAATTGTAGCCCTTAACAAGGACAATCCGAAACCACTTTGACCCGACCCAAATCGGAAGTGGACCCCACTCAAATAATTGCCCCAAAAGGACCATTTAATGCAATTTTAACACATTTTTCCAACAATAAGTAAGTGGGAGCTTATATGATATAACATAAGGTTCTAAAATAGCCTCAATCAATGATCATCAAGAATGGGATATTGATGATATGCGATAAGATTGGTATGTGGATTGTGATAAGTACATATTACAACACGTATTTGATACGTGTTGGGGTTGCATTTTGATAGTTTTCCTAGCTTTAAGGTGTTGCAAGTCTCAATTTTAGCTCAAGTTATGTTTACCGGGCGTTGGTTCGAGTTTTGTGTCATTTGGAGTCAAAATCAGGATTTTAGAGTTCGGCACTGGCGCTTGAGGAGAAATCGGGATGAGTTGAAAAGCATTTGATATTGATTTGAGAGCTATGGAGGTCAGCGGGAGGTTTACGATGAAGATTTGATGACAAAAGAGCTCTAGGATTGGCTTCGGGATCAAAAGAAGATGAATGAAGCTTGAAAACAACGATCAGGATGACCTTCTGTCAATCATTCAAGAATATCTCTTTGTAGAAACAACTAATGGACATGATTCAAGTTGTATATGAAAGACAACTTCAAGGGCTATAAATCATATGAAGACACCGTTACGAGAATAGGAGAGAAAGAAGGTTAAAACAGATGACGAAGTCAGATGATCTCTGCTACGATTTCAGAATGACACCTTCTACCGTTTTGATCATATCTCTTGATTAGATGATTCAAATCACATTTGGCAAGTTGGGGTGGATATAGGACTTCATTATCTAAAACTTTCATGAAGGAAGTTTTGTCCAATTCGAACTAGAGAAAAGGCAAAAGAATACGGACGCACGACCGTGCGTCTGGGACGCACGATCGTGCGTAAGAGCCAAAAACGTGGAGGAGCTACTGCCTGCTACGCACGATCGTGCGTAGCCATGGACGCACGATCGTGCGTAGCCCCGAGTTACGCGCGGAAATCTCCCACATCGACCAGAATTGTGATTTTTCCCATCTTTTCTATAAATAAGACCTCCCTAACCCTTTTTAGTGGTCACGAACATTACGGAGAGGCCTAGGGACGAATTTAACACCGTTTTTAAGCTATTTTCTTCCAGGACCCTGGGATTATTTGTAAGTTCATCTTTTTAATTAATGACAATTTATTCTATTCTTCCCAATTCTGTTGATTTTTCAATTATGAATTGTGAGTAGTTTAATTAGGGATTTGGGATTGATGAAAGGGTTAATCATGATTGATGGCTAGATTCTTTTCGTTTTAATTGCATGAATGCCGTTTAATTTGTGTTTGAATAATTTAACTGGTATCTTTTGTAACCTGGAACCGCGGCTATAATTACAATTGCACATAGAATAAATTAAGAGAGATCTAGTTTATTCTAGGACACATTCACACACACTTAATCGTTTGCTAAGAGATTAGTAGCGATTAAGGGGCCACAAGCTCGTTCGTCTTGGCAATAATTTAGGATCCTGTCGCATGAGAGATCAGCCTGGTCCCCTAAATTATTGTACTCTACGCCGCGAGAGCGGTAAGAACTTAGTATTGATTAGCTAGGCTCAATTAAATTAATTTCATGTAATTAGGCCTGATCTGCCAGAAATCTGATTACCCCGGAATCAATCCCTGTTCCCTTCGTCGTTAATTAGAGAGAACCCAATCTTTTATTTTAATCGTTCATTCGCATAGTTTAATTTTAATTCAACCAACCAATCTCGCACGACGCATTTATTTTATTTTATTCCTTTTTTTTATCGCTGAATTTAATTAATCCTTGATTCCCTTTTGTCCGTCCCTGTGGAGACGATACTCGTACTTTCACCACTATTCTACAATCTTTTTAAGTGCGAGAAAACTCACATCAGTTTTTGGCGCCGTTGCCGGGGACGGTGTCGGTTTTAAGGGTTAATTAATTTCAGCGAGATTTTCTTTAGTTAGATTTTTTTTAGTTTCTCGTAGGATTTTTCTGTGCTAACCTTTCAGGTTTTCTTTCTAAGAGGCATGGGATGAACCCATTAAGCTCAACTCCTGGAGGAACACCATTCCCTCAAATCTCCACGGGATATTCCTCATATACGCCATGCCCAACTTACATTCCTCTACAATATTACTCTCTGGCACCACAAAATATTCTATCTTCCTATTCTTACTCTCCAACCACACAACCCTTCCAATCTCAAAATTCCCATCATTATCTATCATCACCACAATTCCCTTGGACAAAACAAGGCTCCATTCTTGAATTTCTTCTCCAAACTAAAACTCTTGAGGAAGTGTATCATATTCTACCGAAGAATAGCATTTGTTCCTTTTGTGGAGGATGTCACCATATAACCTTTTGCCCCGTCAAACCTCCAAATGATCATCCTTACTGGGCAACTGCATACCCAACTTCTTCCTCCCCACAATTTACGAACACAAATGTTTCAGTCACTCCTACGTCTTTGCCGAGCTATGAGCCACAGGATGAATCAGAAGAGATAATTTCCGAGAAGCTGTCTGACCTGGAAGAAACACTCAAGAAATTAATGCAATTTCAACAACAACAAATGCAAAGTCAACAGCAATCGGACACAAGGATGCAAAACATGGAAAATCACTTGGATCAACTGTTTAATGCCCAATCTGAGGAGTCCGAGAGATCCCATCCTAGCGACACAGAAGCCCAATCCGAGAAGATCAATGTGGATGATCATATAAGTGAGTCAGACAATGATGGTGGGAATGCGATGGATGATACACTTCTTGATGATGTTGAAGACTCACCTATGTTTGAAGATGAAGAAGAAGATAATAGTGTCAAGTTGTTTTTCGGAGAATACATGAAAAAGTTTGTAACGACACAAGATGTAACAGATGAAGTCACAAATCACTATGATTTCCATATAGAAACTCACCAGTCGTTTGATTTACCATTAGTCTCAACACCTGAGGAGGGCAAGGAGAAGATCAGTCATGATGATGGTGCTACTGAGCTAGGTTTGGGTATTGAAGATGAGTTGGAAAATGATGATCACACGTTCCAAGAGAGTGGGGGCGAGAGTAACAACACTTTCCAAGACGACATTGATAAGAACGGTGTTACCGAGAGTTGGGATGCTCACATGGGGAGTGATATGGAGTCCGGAGGAGATGCAGTGAATTTTCAGTATAATTGTGAGGAAGAAAAATACTTTTCTATGTTGCAGTTCGAGTTTGATGTTGGTACAGATCCTTGCATCAAAACATCTTTTGAGCCTGGAGTAATCAAATTTTTGGCTCATGTTTTATGTCCACTCAAGGAGGATGTGAGGTTGATCCTCCAGTTCTGTGCTGATAAGTTTTTTGAAGACCATGTGATTCCTACATGGTTTCGAGAGTTTAAGAATTTGCGCCACCTAAGGGCATTTGTTGAGAGAAAGCTGGATACTTTGAAAATTAATGCCCCACTACAGTCTGTGCTATTTGAAAGCTTACGAGGTATCGTCGGGCAAACGACGTTAAAAATAGCGCTTCTTGGGAGGCAACCCAAGCTTATTTCTGCACTTTTGTTTTCTGCATGTTTTTTGTTTTTGTTTTGTGTGTTTTTTGTGTTTCTGTGTTTGTTTTGTAGCTCAGGTCTTTTCTGGATGATGCGCCACAGTTTACATTGACCCAGTTTAATTCTGCACCAACCAGCGCCTTAGGGAAGTTCCTATTACTCTTACTCGCATGTGTTAATTGTTGACTTGAGTTGAAGTTGAGCACGCGTGACCCTTTCCTCTTTACCCCTTTGTGCATAGTGCATTTTTGGTCATCGAGGGCGATGCCAAAGTTTAAGTGTGGGGGAGTGAATTAGGCATTCGGGCAGTAGTTGTTACATGAGATTTTTAGAGTTAGCATGCGCAGGTGTTAGTTGTATATTCATAGAAAAGTCATGTCAAAATTTTTGAAATTTTTTCTTTAAACTATGTCTTTGTGAGCTGCTTAGCGTTTTGACTATGCTTTTAAAATGTCTTTGAAGTGTTTAGGCTTAAATTGCTTGCACTATAATCTAGTTGTTGAAAGGATGAAGGCATTAGTCACCCATTGAATGAATTCATAAATTTTCCATCCCACCTGAAAAAGTCCTTTAGGAGAAGCCATTTTGAGCCTAACTATTCCTTGTCTACCCAATTAATTGAGCTCCATAGCCAAATGGCCTGTTTTCTTACCCGTGAATATTTCTGACGTAGTCTTCATGTTTAGGGAACTAGGGGGTGAATTTTCTAAGTTTATGGAATTTTGTGTAGGAGCCAATTTTGGCACTGTTCCTATGCCCCAAATGGGGTAAGAGCAGTCACTTTTTAGGATCTTGATATTTTCGAGGATTGCATTGTAGGCATGGATTCACTTCTAAAACAAATGAACTTTAACTGCTATTTTTCCTTGGTGAGGCCGAGATTAGAATGGGGTAATGTCTAAGTAAGAATCCGAAAGGTGAAAAATTAATATAGCTAGACCTCTTACCTTGCGAAAAAGAGAATGGGAGCCCGGGTCAAAAAGCGTAAGTGTTTTCCACAATAAGATGAGACTTGGGTATCTTTCGAAAGAAATGGCGTTCTCGTGCCAACATGACAAGGAAAACTAAACATAATTAATAAACTTGGAGGCTATTGAAAATTAGCTTTAGTTCTCCGCGTACTTCAAGTATACGTCAAAGCACCAACGTGCCGCGGCGGTTTAGCTTAGTTGTACACCATGTCTACTCTTTGCATAGGTTTAGATGGTTGTTCCTAAATTGTGGCCTACTGAGTTCCTTGATCCTAAGAATAGCCCTGAAGTTCCTGAATGCATTGAGTCTTTGTTAGAATTTCCAAATCTCTCAAAAGAAAGGGACTATTTATTACCATCCACCATTCACCATCACCTTCACGAGTCCTTCTGATCAATAGCTAATTTATTTGTGTATGCTGTCATTACTTTAAGGATGTTGTGAATAATTTTGTCAAATAGTTAGATTGAGTACAAAGATGTAGTTTAGGGAAGAATTTTCTAGGTTTAGATTGTCTGTTCTGTGAATATTCCTTTAGCTACGTGTGCCTGCTAACTGTTTTGATTCTGTGTGGTGATTATCGTAAGTCCCGTTGTTCTGTTTGCTTGAGGACAAGCAAAAGCTTAAGTGTGGGGGAATCTGATAAGTACATATTACAACACGCATTTTATGCGTGTTGGGGTTGCATTTTGATAGTTTTCCTAGCTTTAAGGTGTTGCAAGTCTCAATTTTAGCTCAAGTTATGTTTACCGGGCGTTGGTTCGAGTTTTGTGTCATTTGGAGTCAAAATCAGGATTTTAGAGTTCAGCACTGGCGCTTGAGGAGAAATTGGGATGAGTTGAAAAGCATTTGATATTGATTTGAGAGCTATGGAGATCAGCGAGAGGTTTACGATGAAGATTTGATGACAAAAGAGCTCTAGGATTGGCTTCGGGATCAAAAGAAGATGAATGAAGCTTGAAAATGACGATCAGGATGACCTTCTGTCAATCATTCAAGCATATCTCTTTGTAGAAACAACTAATAGACATGATTCAAGTTGTATATGAAATAAAACTTCAAGGGCTATAAATCATATGAAGACACGGTTACGAGAATAGGAGAGAAAGAAGGTGAAAACAGATGACGAAGTCAGATGATCTCTGCTACGATTTCAGAATGACACCTTCCACCGTTTTGATCATATCTCTTGATTAGATGATTCAAATCACATTTGGCAAGTTGGGGTGGATAGAGGACTTCAGTATCTAAAACTTTCATGAAGGAAGTTTTGTCAAATTCGGACTAGAGAAAAGGCTGAAGAACACGGACGCACGACCGTGCATCTGGGACGCACGATCGTGCGTAAGAGCCAAAACCGTGGAGGAGCTACTGCCTGCTACGCACGATCGTGCGTAGCCATGGACGCACGATCGTGCGTAGCCCCAAGTTACGCGCGGAAATCTCCCACATCGACCAGAATTGTGATTTTTCCCCTCTTTTCTATAAATAAGGCCTCCCTAACCCTTTTTAGTGGTCACGAACATTACGGAGAGGCCTAGGGACGAATTTAACACCGTTTTTACGCTATTTTCTTCCAAGACCCTGGGATTATATGTAAGTTCATCTTTTTAATTAATGACAATTTATTCTATTCTTCCCAATTCTGTTGACTTTTCAATTATGAATTGTGAGTAGTTTAATTAGGGATTTGGGATTGATGAAGGGGTTAATCATGATTGATGGCTAGATTCTTTTCTTTTTAATTGCATGAATGCCGTTTAATTTGTGTTTGAATAATTTAACTGATATCTTTTGTAACCTGGAACCGCGGCTAGAATTACAATTGCACATAGAATAAATTAAGAGAGATCTAGTTTATTCTAGGACACATTCACACACACTTAATCGTTTGCTAAGAGATTAGTAGCGATTAAGGGGCCGCAAGCTCGTTCGTCTTGGCAATAATTTAGGATCCTGTCGCATGAGAGATCAGTCTGGTCCCCTAAATTATTGTACTCTACGCCGCGAGAGCGGTAAGAATTTAGTATTGATTAGCTAGGCTCAATTAAATTAATTTCATGTAATTAGGCCTGATCTGCCAGAAATCTGATTACCCCAGAATCAATCCCTGTTCCCTTCGTCGTTAATTAGAGAGAACCCAATCTTTTATTTTAATCGTTCATTCGCATAGTTTAATTTTCATTCAACCAACCAATCTCGCACGACGCATTTATTTTATTTTATTCCTTTTTTTTATCGCTGAATTTAATTAATCCTTGATTCCCTTTTGTCCGTTCCTGTGGAGACGATACTCGTACTTTCACCACTATTCTACAATCTTTTTAAGTGCGAGAAAACTCACATCAGATTGCATCATACTTTTAGAAAGTATAGTTGATCTCACAACTATGAGTTCATGTAATTCATGATGGTCACATAGATATTTTAGAGAATATTGGCATACCCACCGAGAAACCATTTGATAAGTTCTATTCATGTGTCTATGAGATTATCGGCGTATAGAGTAGTGTAATAGTCCTCCAACTTGAGGTCAATACGTACTACATGTGCGGAGTAATGTACTTTGACCATGACCAACGTTTGCACTCCAATCGGGGTAGATACGGCATTTGTTGGGTGCATCACGAAGCATATGGAGTAGTAGTTGAGCCAAGAAAGAATTCATTCCTCATAATAGATTAAGAGAGAACATTATACTTCTCATATCTAGATGGATCATAAAGTCATTGGCCAATGCAAAGATATATTCGTTTTGGATATCGAATATGATCATTATGGATCATCTAGAAAGATTGAGAGATAGAGACTAAGTTATTGGAATAGACACAATATCAAGTTCTAGACTTAGTTGAATGTTCGTTGAATGAAAGGACCGTATCACTATGAGCTCTATATTACAGGGAGTTTGAATAGTCCTTGCAAACGTCCTTATATATTAAGATTGTCAGGTAAATCGTCTAGGGATTCTGTTAAGACCTTAATTTGATTAGTGCTTAATATATAAGTCCCTATGGGTCACACAACAAGTGATTATACCTTCCGATTGAATTGTTAGTAGGAATTAAATATTAATTGGATTAAATAATATTTAATTTGTAATACTGAAATGGATTAAATATTAGTTGGATTAAACTATATTTAATTCATAATTTTGAAGGAGAGTTCTATTTGATAGAATAAATTAAGTGTGATAAATTAGATTTATTATACCTAATTAAGGTGTATTTATTATTAAATAAAGTTGGTATTTTCTTTTATTGATTTGGAATTAAAAAGGAAAATAAAATAAACTAAATAATAATAAAAACATATAGGGAGTGGCGTGCAGCCACTTCTCTATTGTTATTATTATTATGTTTATGTTTATCCAACTTATTTAATTAATAATGATGTATTAGTCCTGATAGGACTATAACTCATTAATGAGTAAGACTTTGGTTGTGATTAGGAAACTAGTTTACAACTAGTATAAATACACCCTACTCCTTCATAATTTATAGATCAGTTTTCAGATTCAGTATTACCAGTTTATTTCCCTGCGAAGAGATTTCCTAGCCTTTCTCTTAGGGAGATCTAACCGTTCTTTCGTGAAGGAGAAATCACGTGGATACCAAAGCCAAGGATTATCACCGCTAGACCGGAAGATCTGTAAGTTCTAACTCAGATCTGTTATTATTATCATATTCGTTATTTTGTCATAATCAGGGAAGATCTGTTTGGGAAAATTTTAAACTTCCGCTGCCGTACTTTCGAGGTACGTTACATCAATTTCCTAACAGTGGTATCAGAGCCAAACTGATTCTAATGACATTATACGAATTTATGATGAAATTTTCGTAGGTTTGAAATATATATTTCCAGAAAATATATTTTTGGCCTGATCTTAATTTTCAAAATTAGATTTGTTAAGATCCGAAATTAGACCTTTTTTTAGGTGAGGGCTGCCGTTCTTTAGATCACCTTCACGCCACTGTTCTATTTTTTTATTCGTCCGATAGGTTTCACGCTTCATCAATCGGCAAGTGTAGCAGTGCTGCTGTTTTCAATTGATGAGCAAACCCCATGTTTATTGTGTGACCGTGTAGGTAGTTTGGGTGGAGCTCTTGTTTTGGTTTATGATTTTAGAAATTAGATTAAACTTTAGGAAATTTTTAAAATTTCCTAGAATTCTAAAACAAAAGCTTTGCTCGGTTTTACTCAAACTGGGACTCAAAGTTTGTTAGATTTTGGAGATCTTTTACTATTATTATTATACTCCGTAGTTACTACTTTGTATAATAATAACTACATTAAATTAACCCTTTTAATTAGATTATTACGTATCTTTGAGATTACGACGGTTAATTTTTTTGTTTTTGTTTTAATCGATAGTTGTGTTATCATTATGGATTGAGCATGCTTAATTAGTTATTTGAATGCTGTATTTGTTAATAAATTAGATTTATTATGCATGCTTTAATTTTAAAAGTCTGAGTTAGATCTCGTTAACATATTATTTGATAATATGTTCTAGCATCTTGATTAAATAGAATAATTTAATATCCCGTTAAATGTTCCCCATAAATTAAAATTTAAGTCTTATCTAGGATAACGACATCACCCATCATAATTAAATTAGTAGAAATATTTTTTCGATGAAGAATATTTCGCCCAAGTGTTTATTCCATCCGACAAAATATAGAATTAATTTATAGATACATATATTTGTGATCGTGTGATGGTTTTGACTTACTTAAATTAGCTTGAGTCGCCCAAGCGTCAGTGTTAATTTAGGGATGTCGATCAATTTAAAAATTGATCAACCAAAAGTTGCTTGGACGCAATTGGTCTAGGGACCTACCCATTATATTATTGTAGTGATCAGCCCAAGCTGGGACTGTAATAGTATGAATGAGGATTTTGGCCACTATGATTGTATAACATTTCATGTTCCTTTTATTGGGATCAAAGAGCATGTAAAAATAGTGGGAGCTAAATAATTAAAAGTCCATATTATTTAGTTAACTAGATGTGATCATTGGAATTAATATATGATTTTAATTCCGTTCTATTTGAACTTCTTTAGGCTTTTAGGTATGTCGAATTTATCATTGAGAAGTATCTTGGATATAAATAATCTGATTGAACCAAACTTTCTAGACTTGGAACAAAATATGCGTTTCGTTCTTAGGCAAGAAAATATCGAACATGTATTTGATACATGTGTACCCGAGATCCTTGATGTTAGCTCTTCTGAATTAGCCATGTTTGACAAGGACATTCAGAAGAATCACATTGCTGAGGTACCAAATGATGTATGTCTCTACTGCAATGAGATATGACATTGGAAGAGAGATTGTGAGATATACAGGACTAATCTAGCCAAAGCATCGAGTTCTTCTAGCTTAGGCATTTTTGTCATTGATATTAATATGTCTACAACTAACTCTCACTGTTGGGTATTAGATACGGCTTGTGGCTCACACATTTGCAATAGTGTGCAAGGCCTAAATGTCAGTAGAGCAGTTAGGCTGGGTGAGATAGACCTACGTGTAGGAAATGGAGCAAAAGTTGCTGCTGAACGCGTAGGGACTTATATATTAGATTTACCCAGTGGTTATAGATTAGAACTAAATAATTGTTATTTTGTTCCTTCTATAACAAAGAACATAATTTCCATTCATATGTTAGACATTGAGGGTTTTTCCTTTCATTTTGCTAATAACACTTGTTGTTTTTCACAAAATGGTATTGTGTATGGAAATGCTCCTCTTATGAATGGTTTATATGTTCTTAATTGTAGACATGACATATTAAATGTACAAAATAAAAGACCAAGGTTAAGTAATGTGAAAAATACCACATATCTTTGGCATTGTAGGCTTGGTCATATTAATGAAGCTTGAATAGCAAGGTTAAGTAAATTAAATTACTTAACACCATTTGATTTTGAATCATATGGTAATTGCGATTCGTGTCTCTCAGCTAAAATGACGAGTAAATCTTTTCTTGGAAAAGGACTACGGGCCAAAGAAGTGCTTGAATTGGTTCACACAGATGTGTGTGGACCATTCCCATCTCAAGCTAGAGGAGGTTTTTCTTACTTCATCACGTTTACTGACGATTTCTCTAGGTTTGGATTTGTGTATCTTATGAAACACAAATCAGAAGCTTTTGAGAAATTCATGGAGTATAAGGCTGAAGTAGAGAAGCAACTTGACAAGAGTATCAAGACTCTACGATCTGATCGTGGAGGGGAATACTTGAGTAAGGAGTTTCTTGATTACTTAAAAGGTCAGGGAATTCAGTCACAATGGACTCCTCCAAGAACACCTCAATTGAATGGTGTTTCTGAAAGGAGAAATAGAACCTTATTAGACATGGTTAGGTCCATGATGAATTCCACGTCTCTTCCAACATCTCTTTGGGGGTATGCATTGCAAACTTCGATATACATTCTGAATATAGTTCCATCTAAATCAGTGCAAAAGACACCATATGAGTTATGGTGTAATAAGAAGCATGTTCTTTCACATATTAAAGTGTGGGGTTGCCCTGCTTATGTAAAGAATTTGCACACTGATAAGTTAGGAGCTAGAAGTGAGAGATGTTATTTTGTGGGGTATCCTAAAGAAACTAGGGGATACTATTTCTATCATCCTGAGGAACATAAAATCATTATTTCCAGACAGGCACGATTCCTAGAAGAAGACTTGGTCTTCAAGGAATTCAATCGTGAGAAGATAGTACTAGAAGAAATTCAAGAATCACAAAATAACATAGAGGATGGAGACTTGCTAGATGGTCAAAACAAGGATTCAGTGGGAGGATTAAGCGGAAGTATGTCTCTAGGAGGATATCCTTCAGCTAGTGGGAGTAATATAGGAAGCACCTCGCACCAGCAAGTGGTTCCTATTAGGCATGAAAGAAATGACATGGTTGTCATTCCTTCTGCACCTACTTCTCCTTCTCTGGAAACACTTAAAAGTGTAGCACCAGAAAATTCTCCGAGCATTGGACAGTCCAATGAAAGAGAACCTCTTCACAATCAGAATGAGCAGCCTGAACAATCGCAAAATATTCAACTTCGTAGGTCTACTAGGATTCGTCATGAACCAACTAGGTTTGGCTTCCTCATGGAGGATCATGATGATGTTGAAATTCCTGACAAGGATGAACCTAAGACTTACACTGAAGCAATATTAGATATTGATTCAGAGAGGTGGTGAGAGGCCATGAAATCTGAAATGGACTCGATGTATATCAATCAAGTATGGAACTTGGTTGACTTGCCTGTTAAGGTTAGACTCATTGGATAAAAATGGGTTTTCAAGAAGAAAATTGATGCCGAAGGCAAGGTGCAAACATACAAAGCTAGGCTAGTGGCTAAAGGTTATAGTCAAAGAGAGGGAATTGACTATAGTGACACCTATTCGCCAGTTGCAAAACTCAAGTCCATTCGAATTTTGCTTGCGATAGCAGCATACTATGATTATGAGATTTGGCAAATGGATGTCAAAACTGCTTTCCTTAATGGAAACCTCAAGGAGGAGGTGTACATGGTACAACCTGAAGGTTTTATATCCAAGTCAAATCCCAAATCAGTATGTAAATTGGAGAAATCCATATATGGGCTACAACAAGCATCTAGGAGTTGAAATATTAATTTTGATGAAAAAGTCAAACCGTTTGACCTCATCAAATGAAATGAGGATGCTTGCGTGTTTAGAGTGCGCAACAAGGATATCATGGTCTTTATAATCACATATGTTGATCATAGAGAATGATATCCCCTCATTGAAGTCGGTGAAAGAATGGTCACCCAAAATCTTCATGAATATCTTTTGTCTATGGTAGACAGAAAGAACTAGTAGAATTTAATTATTCTAGCACTAGTCTCATGTATGATAAGAAAGACTACGAGTCACAGCCAGTATATGTTTTTAGTCTCAATGTAATAGTAATGCTGCAAGAGTTGCAAGTAAGAAACTATTGTAAATTCGATAACTAGAGCCTAGTAAATTGTTGCATTTGATGCAACATAGGTAAGCGTTTAGATACGTTAGTTCCTTAAGGAAATAGAGGTAGTTCCTAGCGATAGTTATCCAATAATTGTTATTGTGATTGTACCGGTGCATTTGCACGAGCTAAGGAACCAAGATGCAAAGTAAGGAACTAGAAAATACCTGTGTGCTATCATATTTTGAGAACAAATAGCAAGAGGAGATGTTGCAATAGAACACCTTCCCGTAGAGGACAATTTGGCTGGCCCATTCACTTTGAGATGTGAGAAACATACTAGACTTTTGAGAGTCTAGGTGTTAGACGCATTGGTGATTGGCACTAGGCCAAGTGGGAGATTGTTAGTATATATGTCCTAACGACAATCACTTTTTAGAGATATATGTACGTGATCACATTCAGTTTTATATATTTGATATAAACGGTATTACACATCGATGATTAAGTATTTCGATTGTCAATATATTATTCATAATTGTGTTCCCTTGGACTTATGTTGTCAATAAGTAAGTGGGAGCTTATATGATATAACATAAGGTTCTAAAATAGCCTCAATCAATGATCATCAAGAATGGGATATTGATGATATGCGATAAGATTGGTATGTGGATTGCATCATACTTTTAGAAAGTATAGTTGATCTCACAACTATGAGTTCATGTAATTCATGATGGTCACATAGATATTTTAGAGAATATTGGCATACCCACCGAGAAACCATTTGATAAGTTCTATTCATGTGTCTATGAGATTATCGGCGTATAGAGTTGTGTAATAGTCCTCCGACTTGAGGTCAATACGTACTACATGTGCGGAGTAATGTACTTTGACCATGACCAACGCTTGCACTCCAATCGGGGTAGATACGGCATGTGTTGGGTGCATCACGAAGCACATGGAGTAGTAGTTGAGCCAAGAAAGAATTCATTCCTCATAATAGATTAAGAGAGAACATTATACTTCTCATATCTAGATGGATCATAAAGTCATTGGCCAATGCAAAGATATATTCGTTTTGGATATCGAATATGATCATTATGGATCATCTAGAAAGATTGAGAGATAGAGACTAAGTTATTGGAATAGACACAATATCAAGTTCTAGACTTAGTTGAATGTTCGTTGAATGAAAGGACCGTATCACTATGAGCTCTATATTACAGGGAGTTTGAATAGTCCTTGCAAACGTCCTTATATATTAAGATTGTCAGGTAAATCGTCTAGGGATTCTGCTAAGACCTTAATTTGATTAGTGCTTAATATATAAGGCCCTATGGGTCACACAACAAGTGATTATACCTTCCGATTGAATTGTTAGAAGGAATTAAATATTAATTGGATTAAATAATGTTTAATTTGTAATACTGAAATGGATTAAATATTAGTTGGATTAAACTATATTTAATTCATAATGTTGAAGGAGAGTTCTATTTGATAGAATAAATTAAGTGTGATAAATTAGATTTATTATACCTAATTAAGGTGTATTTATTATTAAATAAAGTTGGTATTTTCTTTTATTGATTTGGAATTAAAAAGGAAAATAAAATAAACTAAATAATAATAAAAACATATAGGGAGTGGCGTGCATCCACTTCTCTATTGTTATTATTATTATTATGTTTATGTTTATCCAACTTATTTAATTAATAATGATGTATTAGTCCTGATAGGACTATAACTCATTAATGAGTAAGACTTTGGTTGTGATTAGGAAACTAGTTTGCAACTAGTATAAATACACCCTCCTCCTTCATAATTTATAGATCAGTTTTCAGATTCAGTATTACCAGTTTATTTCCCTGCGAAGAGATTTCCTAGCCTTTCTCTTAGGGAGATCTAACCGTTTCTTCGTGAAGGAGAAATCACGTGGATACCAAAGGTCAAGGATTATCACCGCTAGGTTGGAAGATCTGTAAGTTCTAACTCAGATCTGTTATTATTATCATATTCGTTATTTTGTCATAATCAGGGAAGATCTGTTTGGGAAAATTTTAAACTTCCGCTGCCGTACTTTCGAGGTACGTTACATCAATTTCCTAACAGTATGCTGTTTAGTGCCGCACTTGTTGTTCCATTTGATTGGATGAGTATATTTTCTTCTGTAATTTTGTTTTTCCCAGTTGTGATTTAGTCTGTTGGTTGATGATCCTGGTAGGAGCTTGAAGCACTCAGGGGATGGTCATGTAGTCTTGCAGCCCACTTCAATGTCTTGAGATTTGGAAGATAAGTCCCCTCAGGTGTGAAGAGAATTAATTGTAGGTTATTGTTATTATTTTTGTTATTACTATTATTGTTACTATAAATATTTTTATTGTTATCATTATCTCATTCAATGTCTTTCATGAACATGTGTTTTTTTCTATTTGTGATCTAATATGAGTTTTCTGCTCATTAACATCATTTCTTTCTACCAACATGAGGAAAGAGCATCTGTGTTAAAGTTCTCTGCATTGGAAGTCTACAATGAAGTGTATAGAGACTTCCTCAGCTCAGATACTTCTCCGCTAAGACTGCTTGATGATCCAGAGGTAAGTTTGTGATAGTCCCAAAACTTAATAATCGAACAATCATAGCAGATAAAAAAAGCAGATAGAAAGATATCAAGATAAACAACACCTTTGGTATACCGTGTAAACTGGCCGCTGCTCTCCCTAGAGAAGGAGAGCAGCGGTACACCCTAATCTCTCTATCTCTGTGCCTCTATTCTCTAAAGCCTCGATCGTTAGGGTTCCCGTAAGTTAGCCTCCTTTTATAGGAGAAGTTGGCTAACTTACGGGTTACAAGGAAGCTAACGGGCTGATACACATTAGTGACTCGTATTACACGTTTAATTAATAACTACACAAATACGAAGATATTTAATTAGATTGGACACCATAAAATATTCATAACAATCTCCCCCTTGGTGTTCAATCGTGTTGAATCAGCATTGCAGCGCAGATATCTTTATCTTTGTTGTTATTTGGCTTCCTTTGTCTTTGAACTTGGCTTCTGAGGAAAGCTTTCTGAAGAAATCCTTGCAATCTCCCCTTTGATGTCTTCTTGGCAATTTGTTCTTTGATGTCGGGGGTTGAGGGATCTTCAGTATCTTGCATGTAGTCCTTGCCTTCCAGAAGTTGCTCTTGATCAGCTTGGGTGAAGTCCGATGACGCCTCTAGAATGAATATTCTTTGAAGGATAGGGGACGTGCACGGAATTCATCTTCAGTACATGAGTATTTGACCTCTGTCTCCTCCACAATGTAGTCTTTTTGACTATTTGTATCAGCTGAACAAAATGATGGTTGACTTGTGAGCGTAGCTGACCATTTGAGTTGCGAAGATAGTAGAGAGAGTGTTGGAGGAGAGAAGTGTCCCAGAATGATTTTTTTTTTACAGTTAACAACATGTGGACCACTCTCCCCCTCATGACGATCCGATAAATCGGGGCGTCATGCCTTTATTCTTTTATTCTGCTGAAATAAAACAGAAAAAAACAAGCAGAATGTAAAGAAGATAATGTAGCCCCTCGGGGTCGTGAAGACGCCCGTTATCATCACTATAGAGAAACTCTGAAGCGATGGCCTGAAAATGTTGGTGATTCTTATGTTGCAACAGCAGAGCTTCCTTCCAATCATTGGTCTACATCTGTAAAAGATGAGCCCTATGGAAGTTCTCGCATGTCATGAAACCTGCAACTGACTCTAAAAGTGCGTCTGTGTCCTAGAAAATTTCAAAACATTTGGGAGTGAGTAACTAGACACGACGTGATCAATGAAAGTTTAGTGGCATGGGACTGAGGCCAGTGTAGTCAATATCACTTGCCTCGGAAGAAGACAATAATGAGAGATGCGGTTCCCCGTTCCCCGTGAAGTATGATTAAACACGTACTTGTCTGTTGGGAGACAAGTGAGTGGTCTTGGGTAGGGTTAAACATGCACTGTTGGACAAGATGCAGTGACTTCTACCAGGGATCTGATTAAATCAGTCCTGAACCTATTTGGGAATTGTCCAGAGTATTTGAGTGGCTAGGAGTAAATGTTCAATACATAGCAGGCAATTGAGGTAGCAGACTCATCATTGATTATTGTTTTCCTTCTCACTTGAGCCTTCTGCTTCCTAACTCTCATAATGATTACTCACTCACACACTTACTTACTCTCAGCTTTGTCCCTTGGGTAGGCTTAGTTGGGTTTACTAAGCCATAGGAACATGTTCTCTCATTGATTTTCTCTCTGTACTCCCCCTCAACTGGAGCACTCGAAATGCTTTGTCATTGTTAGGCACCGGGGAGGATAACATGGAACACTCCCCCTAGAATGTTGCATCCGTTGAGAGATTCCTTGCTTTGTCGGGGTGAGGCGCCAGGAGGAGAAAACTGAAACTCCCCCTCAGAATGTGCAAGGATTGATTGCTCACAGCTCGTCATACCCACCATGTGTATGGAGCAATCTGAACAACAACCACACTTGACGGTTTTCCTAAGCTCATCATTTGGAATTTCAGCATGTTTGAGGATCACACAATGTTGATGAGTTAGGGGAGGCTTCAGCAGTTGATTGTTGATTGTTGTAAGATGACCGTTGACGCGAGGTTGATTGGATTATCTACGATTTTCGGACCTCTACGGTGGAGCATAGACCTTAGGTTTGACTTTGAAAGAATTTGATCAGATTTGCCTAAGTTTTGACCTGGACATCGGTGATTTACAAAGTTTGTCGGAAAACTAATATTTTGACCCTCAAGGACTGCGAGTGAGGGCGCGTGAGAAAGGGTTCTGGGGCATAGCCTCAGAATTAATGTAGATCTTTTCATTAGCTTTCCACAGAAAAAAGTTTGCTAAAATCGGATCACCGAGTCAAAAGTTATGACAAAAATTGTGCGGTGTCGCAGAAAATCTCGAATTTTGAGTTTTTGAGGAAATTCTTCGAGGTTGAGGTTCTCCATGTTGAATTTCGAGAGCAGGTGAAATTAAACAAAATTCTAAGGCAAACACTCGAAATCCTAATCTCGAGGTTTAAATCTCGAGATTTTAATTTCGAGTTTGCCTTGAAGAGTAATGGCAAATTCCACCTGCAAAACAAACCTCAGAAAATCGAAATCTTCAGAATTTCAAAAAGTTTGGAACATCGAAAACTTTGGAGTTTCGAAAACCTCAGAAATTGAAAACTTGCTGTTTGAAAAACATCTGAACATCAAAAACTTCTAAAAACTTTGATAAACAGAGATTAATTCAGAAATCCTATAATGTAAAGCTTCGATGAACTGCGAAGAATGTCAAGTTTGAAGAATTCTGAGTTTCAAGAAACTGCAAACTTTGAAAGATTCAAAACATCGAGAAATTTCAAAAATTCTGAAATTTTCAGAATGTCGAAATCCTAAACATCGAGTTCCTAAAACTCGAAATTCCAAAACTCGCAATTCCAAAACTCGAAATTTTAAAACTCGCAGTTTTAAAACTCGAAGTTTTAAAACTCGCAGTTTTAAAATGTCGAGTTTAGGAATTCGAGACCCTAAATGTCGAGTTCCTGCAAAATGAAAACTTCGAATTATGAGAATCTGAAAACTGTTCTGAATAGCCCTGAAAACTCGCCAGTATCATGGCGGGCGGATTCCGGTCAGTAGACATGTTGAAAAAATGGTAAGTTCTAGCTACTTCACTTGTGTAGTTGAATAATTCTGTAGTGTTTAGAATTATTAGCAATAAATTATGATATATTTATCATTTCTGTGTTAATAGGCCAAAGATTTGAATCGGGCTCCTTTGAAGATTGAAGGGTATGAGAAGGTGTATGTTTCCAAGTCTAAGGAATAAATGTATTTAGATTTTGATGATACTAGGTTGATTAGAATTTTAAAGTACCCCATTAGCAATTTTGTATTAGAAATTTTCTTTGTAAGTATTAGCATAGTCGACTGGCCAGAGACCCTCTTGGACTTTCTGATCAGAGTTGCTCATCATAGGTGTTATCAAAGTTGCTCCCAGAGTTGCTCATCAGAGAAGCCATCAGATTTGGGTACCAGAGTTGGCATCAGAGGCAGACATCAGAGTTTCAACAAAAGAGCCTCATCAGACTTGTTGATACTTAGCAGAATTCGAAGGTACATTCCAACGGCCGTGAAACTAACGGGAAATACCCTAACGGCTAGGAGCCATTCGACGGAAACATGGTACTGTACACGCATTAAATGCTCAATTAATGCGGTACGTACGAAGAGATATTTAAAGGTGATGATTGACCATGCGGGTATCCTTTCGCCCCCAAAATAGCAAGTCGAAGGACCAACCGGTCAAATCAACAGTACAAGCATTTAATGAAGCTGTCTTCTACATTCCAACGGGAAGACTGCTCCCAGTATATAAGATACACTTCGAAGAACTACACGATAACTTTGCTTAACTTTGCTAAGCTTTTTCTCTCTACAACCTTCAAGCTTTCTTGAGATTTCAAGTTCACTTACTTCAACAAGAAAAGCATACTTTGGAAAGATATGAACTTCATATCCTTTCTTCCAACAAGAGCAAAGTTCCTCCAGTTCTTCAACACTTCGAAAGCCTCAACTACACATCCATTGTGAAGAAGCTACGTTGGAGAAAACTGATTTTCAATCAAACACTTCTTGAAAAAGAAGAGACGTCTCAAACTAGCTGGAGTAAGTGAAGTGGGGATACTTCTAAGAGACTCAGTGAAACGAGACCAGCCATCAGGAAGTAAGGACTGCATCCCGGGTGGCAACTAGACTTGAAGAAGACGAGCAGTACTTCTTAAGTGCTATGGACTAAGGCGTTGTAAACTGTTGTTTTTGCAAGCTTAGTGGAACAGTGGACTAGAGGAACACATTGTTCCTTGAACCACTATAAAAATTAAACCCCAGTGTCATTTACTTTACGCATTAATTTTCTGCACTTAAGACTCTAACTGTTTAACTCAAAAGGTTGGACTTTGTGTTCAGCAGATCTCCCTTAAGAGTTATCAGAAAGGCATTTGTCTTAGTGTTTTTCCTGAGGCTACCCGGACCTTCTCTGGTAAGTCAGAGTTGACTCAGAGAAAAGTTTGAAAATCCTGAACAGTCTATTCACCCCCCCCCCCCCCCCCCCCCTCTAGACTGTTCCCATTATAAATGAAGGTGACCCTCCACAGCATGTTGTTGAAACTCGGGTATGCTCAAAAATTATTCTGAACAAATATTAAATTTAAAGTCCGCTATGATTTTTTCTGAATATCAAAGTTACTGACATATTTGTATCATCTGCAGCAAAAGTACAATGAGTTGAAGGTGCAGGCTGAATCTCAAGGGAAATCGTACGACGTTGATGATTATGAGCTTTTCTGCCATGTGGTTCCCACTTATCAAGGACGGCGGTACGGGACGGGGTCTGAAGCGGAGTCTCTGTCCGGAAGCGTTGAATGTTCAAGCCGGCACTCGGGTCCCACCCAACAGGAGATTGATGCTCTTATTCAAACACAAGTGGAAGCCCGATTCGCGCAACAAGAGAAAGTGTGGTGAGAGCAGATGGAGAACATGTCCACCGCTTTTATGTCGGTTTTGCGACAAGTCCAAACCTCTAACCCGTCTGTCACGATGCCTAATCTGGAAGCTTTGCATACCCCAACTTATGTTCCGATGAACTGCCTCCATGATTCTCCTGAAGTTCGAATGGATGAACTGTTTTCCGTTGTTGGCCTTGTTTAATGTTTTATGGACATCTTATTAATCATCTTATTAATTTCTGTTATGGACATCTTCTATTTTATTTTTCTGCAGTAGGTTTATGGCCATGCCACTATGGCATGTTGAAACATTGTTTTTATTTATGTTTATATTGCACATCTCGATCAGTTTTATGTTACATATATGGCATGTTTTATTTGTTCAATTTGCAATGATACATATATTTGCTTTATTAGTGTTTGAATCTGTATTGATGTACAAAATTTACTGTTTGATTGAAATCAAAAAACGTATATCGTATATATGTACATACGCCGTACATATATATGGTATACGTTTTTTTGAATCTCATCAGGTTTGGCTCGGAAATAGCCGTCGCAATACTTGACACAGGCGTGTAAGACTGTGTCAAGGAATCCGTACCAAAAACTGTACCTAAATGAAATCCGAGCCAAATTTTTGGTGAATACGTCGTACGCTACAGGCACGCAATGGTCCCAACTAAAATCCCAGCCAAGCTGTGCGACGGATCCTTAAAACCGAGCCAACACGTTTGGCTCGAGCTAGGTTGCACGGAATTGAAAAACGTGCCAAATCTGAGCCAAGACCGTTCGTCTGGGAAATTTGTGAAGGGATCCCTGCCTATATATGTGCATATTTCGCGTTTTTTTTGTAGTGAATGGTTGAATATAATATGGGATGTTTATGTATCGTTTATAATGGAAATAGTTTTAGATCGACGAAAAGTTTTGTTAATAAATTTGAAAAGTATACCATATACCAAACACCGCATACACTAAGCCCAGCCATGTTGCTCCCAGTACATACGGCGTAACATTTATTTGCTCCTAAACATCTCATATGCTTTTTTCAACCAAACACGCATACATTAAAGAAAAAATTGTCCTAAATGAAACTAAAACATTAATAAAATTCCCAAATAGTAGTATAAGTTTATTATTCCCTAAATAGGAGTACACATTACATTTTTGCCCTTCCCCTAATTAAACTCAGAATCAACGCCTCAAACTTCAGTTCTACCATTTGCATCTTCGCAATTTGGGAGTTGCGGTCTCCTTCTTCCCCATCGGAGACGGAGTGCTGCCCAACCGCCTCCAGTACGTATGATTTCCGGGGATCGTAGCCCCTCAATTTCTCCGGCAACATCACACTTCGCATATGCAATTCCTCCCACGAAGTCAAGTAACCCTCTTTTCCTTTTCCTTCTTCCTCTCCTTCTTCTCCTCTCCCCCTCCTTATTCTTCTTCGTCTTCTCTTCTTTTTGGTTTTTTTCTGTTTTCTTCTTCATCACTTTTCATCTAGATGTGTTCAGCTCCTCTGGTTTTATTCTCTTCTTTTGATTTTCAATTTTAGATTAATTATGATTATATTATTTTAAAACATTCAAATTACTTTATTTATCAATTGAATCTTAAAATGGTGTCATTGTTGGTTTTTATGTTGCTTTGAGAAATGTCACTTTTCAATCTTGAGAATGCCAAATTATTAGAAAAAAGCCAATTTTTGAACCTGAGAATGGTAGATTATATGAAAATTGTCACTTTTCGAATGCCACATCATTAGAAAAATGTCACTTTTATGGCATTATTATATTTCAAATTCTAAACTCATAATGATGTCAGATTTAAATATGACAATTACATAATTTCTTAGGAAAATGTCACTATTATGAATCTGAAAATGTTTTTGTTTCTTATCTAAAATTTTAATTTTAACACATGAGAATGTCATGTTTTTATAGGAAAATGTCATTTTTATGTGATTACTCTTATGAAGATGGCATTCTCGCGGGAGGTTTACGGTAACTTGTTGGAGGGCGACGACTTCACCAGAGGATGGTGGCGGCGGCGGCGAAGAATGGCGGCGGCGAATTCAGCGATGAGTGGCAGAGGCACGCTGCAGACTTGCTGGAGTATGTTTGCAATGTGCTAATGATGTTACGGCAAAATTGATGGTTGCGGCAGACTTGGAGGATGGTTGTGATGCGCAAATGATGTAGCGGCAATTTCATTAAGGCTATTTTTGTCCAAACATAAATATTTAGTCCTATTTAGAGAATTTAAAATAATAGATCTTATTTTTGCATTTACCTCATCTTTTACTCCTGTTTTAGGAATTCACTCTACATTAAACGCAGCCAAATAAGCATATACTTCGTATAAGTATTGTAAAATTTATAGGTCTCATCTATGGTTAAAGGAGTCGGTACTTAAAAAATTTACATTGCAGGGGTCAAAGTTTAAAAATCAACATATTTTCTATAGATTAAATGTATTTATATATAATATATACTTATTTTTTTCTTGCTGGGGCCGAGACTCCCTCCAGCCCCTCCCTGTCTCCACCCCTGCATCCAAGTCTTCAAAAATGATAATCATATTTATGAACTTTATCATTGTTTTAATCCTATCCAGGGAATTTTCTCTTGTCAATTTTAAAAAATAATAGTCCTGCTTAAAAATTCAAGTTATTGATGCATGTAAACAATAGGGTTTAAGGTTTAAGGACAAAAAAGATTGTATATTAAGGTGGGTATAATTCTATAGGTGGAGAAATATAGCTGTCAAATTAAAGGCTTAATTAACTGCAAGTTGGAACCACCATTCCAGTAAAGTGGTACGTACACCTCTATTAATACCCTTCATGCATGCCCTCAACACCTTGTCCGTGTCCTAGCTACCTGTACCTCACCGCATATTATCCAATTCACGAGAACCCATACGACCGGCCATGAAGTTAACGGACGCCGACAGCTTAGTCTACGACCGCCGCATGTCAACGGTGGTTCCCGGTGCCATCACCGGGGACGACAAGCTCCGGGACCTGAGCAACGCTGATGTGGCCATGAAGCTCCATTACATAAGAGGAGTGTACCTTTTCACGAGCGAAGCGGTGGGTGGTATAAGCAACGGTGACCTGAAGGACACGATGTTCCCGTTGCTGGAAGCTTACTATCCCGTCGCCGGCAGGATCCGGAACTCGCCGGAAGATGGCCGGCCGTTCATAAAGTGCAATGACAGTGGCGTGAGGATCATAGAGGCCAAGTGCAGCAAAAGCGTGGATGAGTGGATGGTTTTGATGAGTGATCCGTCGTCGTCTGATTCGTACTGTCGACTTCTTTATCATGATCAAGTTCTTGGTCCTGATTTGGGATTTTCACCCCTTCTCTTTATACAGGTAGGAAATTTTATAAAGAAATTATATTAAATGGGACTAAAACATGGTTAAAACTCTAAAATATGACTTCAAGTTTTAAATTTCCTAAATGGGACTCCAGATTACCTTTTTGCCCCTAATCCTTAAATCACCTTTTCCCCAAATTTCTCTGCATCGATCGCCAGAGGACGCAGCTCAACTGTCATGGACACAGCTCAACCTCCATCGATCGCAAGTTCGCAAGTTCGCAACTCGACACTGGCCTATCATCGCAACTGCCTGCTCGGCGCCGGACGCCATCTCCAGCAAAATCATGTATTCTTCTCCTTCTCCTCCTCCTCCTCCTTCTTCTTCTTCTTCTTCTTCTTCTTCTTCTTCTTCTTCTTCTTCTTCTGCTCCTCCTCCTCCTCCATCTCCTTCTCCTTCTTGTTCTTCTTCTTCTTGCTCTTCTTCTTCTCCTTCTGTAAATGTCATCTTTCTATTCCAAAATGCCAACATTATTTTAACATTATTTTTAGTTTTTTATCAATCAAATTTTAAATAAAATTTTGAATTGTGAAAGTCATTTCTCTTCATTTTTTATAAATTCCATCTAATTCACTTTAAATCGTTCATATTATTTTTCTCACCAATTGGACCTGAAAATGGCATAATTGCTATGTTATTGAACACTCATTTGGAAAAAATGTCACTGTTTTGACATTACATTTACCAAGATGTCAGTTTTTATTTGACATTTATAAAGAGTAAAAATGGCACCAACTTGACATTCTCCACGACTGCCATGTTTTTATATATGGAAATGTCATCTCAATGACATTTTGGGAACAAAGGTGACATTTTTTACAAAAGAGGACAGTGGAATCCATCTTACAAGAGATATATACAATGGCGGTCTTATCTCGCAACTCATGCCAGGCAGCTACGGCGTTCACCTAGGTGGCAGCAGTCACCCAGGCGGCGGCAATCAACCAACGATAGTGGAGGTCTGTGCACTGAAGGCCTTGCGCAGAGGGTGGTGGTGTCGGCAATATGAAGGTATCGGTGCAGGGCACCGCAACAGAGTAGCCGGAAGTCTAAAGATCATGCGCTAAATTCATTAAGGGCAATTTTGTCCGATCGGTAATTAAAAGTCCTATTTAGGTAATAAAAAACTTAATGTCCTACTTTGGAGTTTTAACCAAGTTTTAGTCCCATTTGGGAAATTCTCTCAATTTTATAAGACTATTCTCCGCTTCTCATAAAATTCATCGAGATTTGAGTGATTGGAGTTTAAGAAAATGAAAATCTATAGTTATGATTGAGTAAGAAAAAAGTAAATGACTATTACTTTATTAGTCATAAAAAACTTTCTAAAAAATGAAATTGGAAGATTTTTTTTGAACATTCTAGAACAGTTAAGTTGATAAGATTTAGGATTTCATCCTAAAAGGTCAACCTGATAGAAAGAGTAACACATATCTTAATATAGTGTTTAATTGTTTAAGAAATATCCAGTGTGTGACAACACCCCTTCTCACGACCACACACTTCGTCTGGATCTTGGCGTCATTCATTTTTCTATCGCTTCATCATTGTCATTTTTTCATTAGTTTTCATACGGGGGCCACATCATGGATCGATTTGGCTCTGATACCATGATAAGATTTGAGATTACATTCTAAAAAGTCAACCTGATAATAAGACACATCTTAATATAGTGTTTAATTGTTTAAGAGATACCCAGTGTGGGACAACAAAAGTGTAAAGAATTTTAGCGGATCGGGTGAGTATTATAGTAAACCGAGCGTATAGGGTTTTGGTATTTGTAAAGTACCTTTCAAATTGAGTAATACTTGTAAGAATCTTATGAAATGTCTTAACTAAGTGCTATATTAGTGTTAGACGTAGCATAGGATACTACGTATTCATTTTAGGATAATTTGAAATATGGACAGATCCACGATTTCGAGTCAAGGGGGGAGAAAAATTTTGTTAAAGTAGCGGGTCATTTTTTTCAAAGGTGTGGCGGGGTGAACTTTTTTTGCTAGTGTAGCGGGTTGAATTTTTTCACCAGTGTGAGGCTCTGCGGTTATTTTTATTCGAAAAATTTCATTAATACATACACGTCGACATTTAAATCTATATCGTCTTTAATTTTATAATTGAAGAGCTCTAGAAAAAAAGTATTTACATTAAATCGTAAGAAATGACAAATAAAAGGAAAATAATTTGAAAATAAAAAGGATATATAACGTTTTATTTGAAGATAAAGAGTTTATAAGGAACACATTCACCAATATTTTTAAAACAACTTCTACATTGTCTAAATACATGAATCTTATAAAAATAAAGAACATGTTTTTAAATTACAATTTTTACCTACCAAGGAGGCCGGGTGTTCAAGAGTCACAAGGACTTTTCTTAATATTATAATAGTATGTATGTGGTTATTCTTTTTAGAATAATATTACATTGGTAATTCATATATATAGTGCATAATATATTTGTATTAATGCTAAACTAATTTAAAGTTTGTTATATATGCAATAAAGTCTTTTTAGAACGTAAGAAGTAAATGAATTGTGTAATTTAATGTCAATAAGCAATTATATTTTGGACTCACTTCACATCGTTTGTAAACTGTGTGACTAGTGTGTCCGGTATTTAATATCGTTTGTTATATATTTTACAAAATTGAATACTAGTTATCAAATAAAGATAATTAAACATTACAAAACTAAGAATTTTTATATAATAAGTATCATAAATCTTAAACAATGAGTTGTTCTATTGTTTATTTATTTAAGTTATGTAAATTATCTTAGGTGTTTCTTCTTAAATCACCAAAATCAGCCAATACAGCTACTTCATCCAGAACTTCATAAATTTCAGTAGAATCAGCCGAATCAGCCGATTTTCGTGTTACCAACGGGCTCTAAATAAATAATTCATGTGTTAAATACGTAATCATTAGATAGATTATTTATTGACTGGTATTGAGGTGTTTAGATAATGGTGTTTAGCGTTTTCGATAATTCTAAATGTTACTTGTTTGATAAGAAGTTTTTTAGGCCGTAACGTTTTTAGACGAAACAGTTGAAATGAATAACCACCAAATGAGTAAGGTGCTCATTATTTATCTAGAAATGGTAAACATTGGCTATGAAATAAATACGTAGTATGGATCATGTAATTAAAAGTTTTTGGTACACAAGAATATGGCCATAAATAATGTACCTATTTGGCCGTTCATAATGGTACCACGTGTTTTCATTTCTACCGCATGGGTTTCATTGACCATGCATACTAAATACTAAATACTTCATTATTTAACTATGCCATTTTCTTCAAGAAATTTTCATAGTCAATTGGTCAAATATTCTATTTAGAAATGCAACTCCAAACCAATTTTAAAATTGCCCAAGTCAAAGGGACAGCTGCCGTTTGAAATTTTTAGTAGCTAGGAGTGTTGTGGAGAAAATTGTGTAAATACGGAGTAGTAAAATAAAACACATTTTCTCAAATTAGAGTGATTGTTTTTTCACTTAGAAGTTTTTATCTCCTTATTTGAGAAAATAAATTTAATGTTTGCATACATTTTTATTCAATTGTTTATCGTAATACTTCGTATAAATAGGCTGGGCTGACAGGTCCTCGCCCATCAGACGTGGGTTAACATGCATCAGTGCAACAGTTTGACTTTCACGTTTGTCAACGCGCAACTTTGATTGTAATTATATTTATTTACGTATTAGTAAACATTAAAAAAAGTTAATATATTGGAAATTTACATTAATACAAATTTATTAATATTTTCTACATAATATTTTATATATATATATGTATTATTAGAAAATCGTAGTCAAAGTAATATGTGTGAATAGAGCAAAAATTCCAATGTTACAACTTTTATGAAACGGAGGAAGTATTAAGTTATCTTAATCCACGACAAAAAATAAAAAGAAAAAGGCAAAATCAGATCCGAACATATCATATTAGACTTTGACGTGATCTGGTTTCGATTTGAAAGTGAAAATCGGACATTTGTCCACATGGATCAATCAAAATGATGTAATTGAATTATGTAAATCTAAATTTAAAATGATGTAATGATTTGAGTGAATGAAGTGAGTTGTCACTCATAATTAAAATGACGAATGAATGCAGTTTACTTGGTTCAAATGCGGAGGAGTGTCGGTAGGGTTGAGCTGGGCTCATGTTCTGGGAGATGTCTGCTCTGTTTCGGAGTTCTTCAAGAAGTTCGCCCAAGGCCTCGCCGGCCGGCCGATTCACCCTCTTCAAGTCCCAACTACCGCCCTCTCCCCCACTCTTAATGGCGACAAGCAGCTCCCTTCCTCTTTCGGAAAGATTGACCCCCTTGGAGATCATTGGAGAATTACCCACAACTCCAAAATGGTAATTCCTTTTTTTCTTTAATATGGTAATAATTCCTTTTATTACCCACCACAAGTATTATGTTTCTATATTGCTTAACTATCGGTAATTATTGTCAATTTTATGATAGTCATGTTTAAAATCTGATAATGTCAAAATGTGATTGTAATTACCCACATTTAGATAATAAAAATATAGTTATCATATTTTAAATTTTTTTAGATAAGAGTAAAATCGTTTGTGATTGTAGAATCCGAGTGTTGTGTTTTTATTACCCAGTGGAGTAACAAGTTTCATTTTTGGATAACACAATCACTTATGACAGTATAGTGTTATGTTTAAATCCTAATAATATAAAAAAAACGTAATACTTCTATTTTGTAATTCTCAAACATTTTTACTTTTTTTACGAGATTTGCTTCTATATTTAATTGGTATTATTGATGTGCTTTTACATTTTCAATTGTAACTCATATTCGATCTCAAATTTAAACCAAATCAAACTTGAACAGATTTCAAAAGATCAAATCAAACTTGAATTATAGTACTCGTATAATACACATTAATTAATAACTCCCTTCATCATACCATACGAGTTTAGACTAGCTAGATCAAACTTAGGATGGTTTTCAATCATAATGGTTTTAATCAGAAAGCAAAATAAAAAAAATAAAAAAATGGATTATCAATGAGCACATTAACACACACTTCATTCGTCCCTAAATAAAATCATTTGTTTCTTTTTCGGATCGTCCCTAAATAAAAGTCCTTTTTTCTTTCTTGGTAAACAAAAGACTGTAAAACCGTGTCAAACAGTATCGATCAATCCCGCTTTCTTAAAATATATGGAAAACGAATAGATACTTTTATATAGAGACGGAGCTGTAGGGAGTATATTACTTATTATTGCCACTCATTAGTATTAACTTTTCTTAATGTGAAATGATTTATCTTTTACAGGTAACTTGCTCTTTCCAAGTCACTAATGAGCAGCTCAACCAGCTCATATCCAAATGTTTTGAAGGATCAAAACATCCTGCAATCAAAATCATATCTTCTTTTGATGTGATTTCCGCAGTGATCTGGAAATCCCTGGCTAAACTTCGTGGAGAAGATGAACAACAAGAGAGGCTAAAGACTGTGACACTTGTCAGAAACGATTTCCATGACAGGGAAAACGAACAGCCCAGCAATGCACAGCTGATTAGTGTGATTAAAGCGGAGATTCTGAAGGTTGCAGAGGCTGATCTCCTGGAGCTTGCCAAATTGATAGCAGAGAAAGGGGAGGATGAAACCAGAATTATTGAAGAGTTCAAGGATGTGGGAGAAAATGGTAAATCCTCAGATTTCTTTGTGTATGGGGCGAATCTGACATTTGTGAACTTAGAAGGGGTGAAAGTTTATGGATTTGAGATGAATGGGAAGAAACCAATTTATGCAAACTATAGCATTGATGGGGTAGGTGAGGAAGGGGCTGTTCTGGTGCTGCCAGAGGATTTGAATGGTGGAAGAATTGTGAATGTGATTCTTCCTGAACACCTTGTTGGGGAGCTGTCCATTGAGCTCAGTATTGAATGGGGTGTTTTCCAAAAATGATTTTATTTCTACATGCATTTCTTTCCGCAAATTCAGAATTCATAAACTTGAAATTGTATTTGTGTGGCCATTGTTATTCTTTGATACCATCAAAAGATTGGTTTGTCATTCTCCCTTTAATGCATCGAAATCCATTATTGTCATACTCCATAAAAAACAATTGGTACTTGGTAGTCTCAATTATTTCACTGTCACTTTTATTTTCTCGTGTTGAACTATGTGATAATAAGAAAAAAGTAAGATTGAAATTATTTTTCTGACTATGTTGGCTGAAGTTAATGTAGAAGATCATTTTAAATATTTTTCATATAATTCTTTCTTTATTTTATTAATAGAATATATCAGTCAATCCAGCCACATCAGTTAGGACTTCATAAATTTCAACAGAATCAACTGATTCAACCTATTTCAATGTTACCATACGAGCTCTAAAAAAAGAGCAACATTCAGAGTTTTAGATTTAGAAAATACACAATGTGTGTCTCCTGTTTGGTGATTTAGTAACATTAAAGTTACTTTTCTAACTGAATTGACTAAAATTACATTAAAGGACCACCAATAGGGTTCCCTTTTTTACGTCCTCATGTCCCCTCCCTCATGTGGCGACATGGGGTCAAAACTAAAAGTAAAGAGACATAAGGGGCACTCCTAGCTCAATATGGACCTTTTTAGGCTAACCGTAATTACCGTAATTTGGTCCGTTAATAAATCTAACTTCCAATCCCTAGTCAATCCATTTTTTCCCTGTCATAGTAGTGTAATCCAGTATCGTCAATATATTCATCTAGCACAATTTTTTTGAATTAAATGGAAAAATTCTTACTTTCTTTATTACACATCATTTATGAGATAGATTATTTTTACCAATAATTACGATTTAAGCGATCAAATATTCCGATGTATGAGATAGATAAAAAAATGTGAATTGATTTTTTTGTAAGTATTAAAAATGCACACTTGAGTTAAATTTGAAATAAATTTCAATAAGATGTACAATATTACGTTATTTTATATATTGCTATATTATTAATTTTCATTTTTAGTACCTGTAGTATCATTTACTAGTTGAATATTAAGATGAATCAATTGAAATACATGTTAAATTGAAATATTAAGAATCAAAAAGGAAAACACATATTATTGACTATAATAATAAAAAGAGATGTAAAAAATATTTTAATAATCATATCTTAATTTTAATATTTGCAACTACTTAACAAAAAAAATGGATCTGATAATCACCCGCAATAGTAATTTCATTTTTTACACACAAAAAGTTATGTATTTTGATATTGTTGAGATAAATTCAACATGAAACAATAATAAAATGTATAAACTATCGAAATAAATGTATGAACAAGCTATTTAACGTAGAAACCCGGAAGGGTGAAAACCATGAGATTTTTTGGACTAATGTCCAAGTCACCATTACAATGTACAAGTGTCTTGGAAGCCATTAATGGAGCTTGAAGCTTTAGAGAGAATGAGGAGGGGATACAAGGAAGCAACCCTCATATTTATAGAAAACAGGGGAGGGGATACAAGGTTGCCCTAATGGACCAAGATGGGCCCAAATAGCCGAAAGGGCCAAAATGGGCCTAACTGATTGGGTTCCGTACTGAGGTAACGCCTTGGGCTCCTAAACAGTAGTAGGCTGAGATGATATATCTCAACACAAGTCTCTCGGTTTCTTGAGTAGCGAGTGTGCAAATCTACTCGAGAAATTATACTCCCGCTCGTGTTCTTCCTTGTCTTTCTTGACTCTGTATCTTCGGGTAGCCTTGTGTGTAATGTATGTATAAGTGAGATGTGATGTGTATTCCCTGCATTGGGCACGACGTCATTGAGGAGCCACTCGTGCTCCACAAAGCGGCCGGTCACCATCACAAAATAAGGATGAGTGAACCCGACCGAGAACTAGACATGACGGCGCGGAGGAGTCATTCGTGTTGCATAAAGCGGCAGACGCCATTCCAGAATAGGGAACGACGAGCCCAACCGAGAACTAGACATGGCAGCGTGGAGGACCCACCTGGTCTGATTGGACGGATCGCTGTTACAAGTTGTTTGAGATGAGGAAGAACTCCATTACCCAGTTCCAAACTGAACTAGCTAAGATCCCACCGTCCAGTTTGAGTGGACGGATCGCTCTAACCAATTGGTTGAGATGAAAACTTATCACGTTCCAGTTGGCTGTCGTGGTGTTTGGGGTAGTCCCAAACGTGCATGTCAAGCGAAGGGATCTTCACCACCAAACCCCCTACCCTCTAGGCGGGGTGTCCCATGGACTTCATCTAGGATTCGTCGGCCCTTTTTTGAAATAGAGCATGTTGGCTCACATCTAGAACACTTTGGCCATTTTTTCAAATAGAGCACACTGGCTCTCATCTAGGACACTTTGACCCTTTAATTTTTTCAAATAGAGCATGTTGGCTCTCATCTAGGAAACTTTGGCCCTTTTTTCAAATAGAGCACGTTGGCTCTCGTCTAGGACACTTTGGCCCTTTTTCAAATAGAACATGTAGGCTCTCTTCTAGGACACTTTGGCCCTTTTTTCAAATAGAGCACGTTGGCACTCTTCTGGGATCCTTGTTTTCTTTTCTTCTTCTTTTTTGTTACAGACTAATAATGATGATCATGTTGTGCCAAGAGGCCAGTCGTGATATGAAGATGACGGCGATGAGGGGCAGTCTTATTGTCTGAAGCATGATGACTAGGAAATGAGAAGTCGATTGATAAGTCCGTATTACAACATGCATTTGATGCATATTGGGATCGGTTTTTGATGTTTTCCCTAACTTTTAGGTGTCAAATCTCAATTTTAGCTCAAGTTTTGTTTACCGGGGGTTGGTTTGAGTTTTGTGTTGTTTGGAGTCAAAATCAGGAATTTAGAGTCCGGCACCGGCGCTTGACGAGAACAAGGGATGATTAGAGAAGCATTCGAGAGTGAATTGATATCTTTGGAGGTCTCCGGGAGGTTCACCAATGAAGATTTGATGACAAAAGAGCTCTAGGATTGGCTACGGGATCAAAAGAAGACAAATAGAGCTTGAAAACGACGTTCAGAATGTCCTTATGTTAATCGTTCAAACATATCTCTTTGTATAAGCATCCAAAGGACACGATTCAAGTTTCATATGAAATCCAACTTCAAGGGATATAAATCATATGAAGACACCATTGCAATAATCTGAGAAGAAAAAGGTGAAAACAGATGATGAAGTCAGATGATCCCTGTTGCGATTTCAGAATGAGACCTTCCACCATTGTATTTATATCTCTTGATTGGATGATTCAAATCCAATTCGGCAAGTTGTGGTGGATAGAGGACTTCATTATATACAACTTTCATGAAGGAAGTTTTGTCAATTTCGAACTAGAGAAGCCGGAAAACTCACTGGAAGCCAAGCACGTGTGTGTGTGGTGGACGCACGCGTGCGTCCAACGTTTTTTACGCGCAAGTCTGTCGGACGCACGGACGCCATGCACGCGTGCGTGGGCGCCGTGCGTGCCCCCTGGAACCCTAATTTCACCCAAATTGCTCCGTTTTTACTATTTAAACAGCCTGTAAACCCCTGTTTTGAGGGGGGGAGCTTAGAGAGAGGCCTAGGGACGAAATTTCTTCTACTTTTCCATCTTGTTCTTCAATTCCCTTGGATTATTTGTAAGTTCCATCTTTTTAATTAATGACAATTAATTCTATTCTTCCCAATTCTATTGATTCTTCAATTATGAGTTGTGAGTAGTTTTAATTAGGGATTTGGGATTGATGAAGGGGTTAATCATGATATATGGCTAGTTTCTTGATGGATTAATTGCATGAATGCCGTTTAATTTGTGTTTGAACAATTTAATTGCTATCTTTTGTTACCTGGAACCGCGACTAGATTTACAATTGCTTGTAGAATAAATTAAGAGAGATCTAATTTATTCTGAGACACATTCACACACACTTAATCGCTCGCTAAGAGATTAGTAGCGATTAAGGGGTCGTAAGCTCGCTCGTTTTGGCAATAAATTAGGATCCTGTCGCATGAGAGATCAGTCTGGTCCCCTAAATTATTGTACTCTACGCCGCGAGAGCGGTAAGAACTTAGTATTGATTAGCTAGGCTCAATTAAAGTAATTTCATGTAATTAAGCCTGATCTGCCAAAAATCTGATTACCCCGGAATCAATCCTTGTTCCCTACTGTCATTAATTAGAAAGAACCCATTAGTTTAATTTCTTTTATTTTAATCGTTCATTCGAAGTAGTTAATTTTCCCAATCAATCAAATCTCGCACGATGCATTTATTTTATTTATTTTTAATCGCTGAATTTATTTAATTCTTAATTCCCTTTTGTCCGTCCCTGTGGAGACGATACTCGTACTTACACCACTATTCTACAATCTATTTTAAGTGCGAGAAAACTCACATCATCGATCGTCGTATGAAAACGGCGATCACCATCCTGGAAAGGAATGGTGAGCCCAAACGCTAGCTCGAGACACTCGGCACTGGGAAGGTGGTCTATAGACAGATAATGACGTCGTAGCCGAGAAGTCGGTCGAGATGTGAGGATGGCGGTGATGTGGAGCCGATTCAGAGATATGAGCAACAGTCATCATCCGTGAGGTGCGGCAATGAGACCGGTCTTAAAGGTGATAACCGCACCGTATCGGAAGGTCAGTGGTGATGTAAGGATGTCGGGATTGAGGGACCGTTCTCAAAATCCAAGCAACGACTCTCATCCGCGAGAGGCTGGGATGAGACCGGTCATCAAGGGGAAATCACGTCGTACCGAGGGGTCGGTCGTGATGTGTGGACGTCGACATTAATGGGCTGATCCGAAATATCCAAGCAACGACTCTCATCCCGAGGGGCGGAGATGAGACCGGTCTTCAGAGGGATAATCACGTCGTACCGAGGGGTCGGTCGTGATGTGTGCACGTCGACACTAAGGGGCTGATCCGAAATATCCAAGCAACGATTCTCATTCGTGAGGGGCGGGGATGAGACAGGTCTTTAAAAAGGTAGTCACGCTCAACCGAGGGGTCATTTTAAGTAAAGCCCATCAATGGGATCAGCCATGGATCACATCCATGACCCAAGAGTCATTTTAATTAAAGCCCATCGATGGGATGTGCATTAGCTAAAACAAAAATGTGCGGAATAAAAGGTACAAAAATAACAGCACATCGTATCT